TTTGGAGAGAGACAGCGAGCAATTTCTACAAAACGTAATTAGTATATTATTATTTTTGCTGCATATTTCTAATGAACTAGATAAAGATTGTACTTTTTAATGATTCTGCTGCAGCCAAATTTTTCAACTAAAAATAAGCACCTTTTAAGTACTTTTTAAGCACTCAAAAATATTTTTTAGCACTTCAAAAAAATATAATTATGATAAGCACACTAATAATTTTTTTCCTTCATATTGTTTAAAGTTCTTATATATATGTTAATAAAATGCAAAACAATTTTCAAAATCATGATAAAATAACTAGTTTCTGACAAAGAATTCTCTTCTGGATTATATTAGCCACCATAAAAACAATTTATGCACAATTTTAAATATATTCAATATTAAGTGAGTCATTCTATTTTTAAATTAATAATTACTTTACACAATTATGTAAAAAAATATTCCAAATTATAATTAAATTAACCATTATTTAAAAAGGTTATCAAGTGTATTCTTTAGATTTGAATAAAAGTTATTTATAAAAGCATATTCAACAAAACATTAACAAAATTACTATTATTGATCATACCAAATTTAAAAAGATATGCAAAGAATTAAGGAAACTAAGAAAAATTAAATGAATAGCACAAATGTGAATTAGTGAATGGACTCAAATAAATGCTTATTAAAATTTGTTACTTGGTTCAGTATTTCTTTAATGAAATGCTTAAAAAATTTTTAAATAATTTTGATATGTAAATACAATGAGTATTGAAGCTAAATATTTTTGTCGGAAGCTAATTATCATGGTCAGAAGCAAATTGTCCCTACACTAATAATAATTAACAAATCTGAGATAATTGATTTTTTATTTTAGTTGTTTTTAAATAAAATCATTGAGAGATAAATTAAAGTTTTTTGGAATGACAAATCTGAATAACATATAAGATTTTTTGCTCATTTAAAATAGGAAAAATCCTTCATTTCATACTTTTTTAAAATCTTGCCAATAAATATTATGTAGTTTCATTATAAAACAACTTGAAAGAAATGAAAATTTTAAAAGTATTAATACAATGATAAAATGTAATAGGTAAATAAAAAGTTATAAGTTTACAAAAATTTTATGCAATCGGTGGACGGTCCTCAAGTAAAGAATCTTACAAATTAAAATCTCAATTAATTATTATCTTTATTAAATTAAATGAATAAAAGAGGGATGGAAATTTTGAAATGAAACCTTTTGATTCTTTACTACTTTGGGGACCCACATAAAAATATGTAATTAGTGAATGATCCTCATGTTAAGGTCAAGTATTATGGCACTGATTCATAAATAAAAGAGCACAAGAGGGACGTAGACAAGGGTGCTTCACCAATGATGAAATTAACAAGTGAAATAAAATTTTCTTTTGCTTTCAGGGGAAAAAAAACTGGAAATATTTAGTTGGTCCCTGTGAATAGCAAAAATTTGCGATATTTTTTTAGAATGAAAATACAAGAATCCTGCCGAATTGAGCTCAGTGTGCGCACATGCAGACCCGCAAGTATTTCATCAAACATTTAAAATGATTTACGCTTTCATACACTTCAGACCAATGGTATGCCAAAATGGATTGCAGTTGAATGAATTGTGAAAATGTTGAATAAAACAATGTGAAAACCGCTCTTATTATGTTTCGAGGCAAATATTGAGATGGCCAAGAAAAAATCTTATTTTGTAAAAGGGAAAAATAAAGCAATTTCTTCAAATACCCAATGAAAAAGTACCTTTACAGGTTTTTAAAAAACAAAATTCGAAAATAAGCAACTTTAAGTGCTTTTTAAAATCACTATGCACCCTGTGCTGATTTACTAAAACACAACAAAAAACTTTACATTTTTTACTTCAAAACTATATTTGAAATTTCAAATCACATCTTTTTTTAGCCCTACACTCTCGAAACAACAGGCGGTCATTTTTCACTAAGCTCTGAAATTGAGTTAACTATTAGAAAAGCATAGTTTTGTTGTTGATTACATAGTTAATAGTTTTTTACTGGAAGTTATAGTTGTAAAATACTATTTGAAATAATTTGAAATTTTGAACAGGTGGCAAACCAATTTTTTCATTAATAAAACATAAATAATTTTAACCCATTTCCATTTCGTCTATGACTCATATAACAATAAATTAAAAACATTTGTGTTTCAACCCTTAATGCACGGGGATCATATGAGCAAGCTAACAATAATTGTTTAATTTTAGCCAACAGATAATCTATATAAAATAGGAAAAAAATATATTTAAACTGTCATTTTGCCACTTGACCTCTTTAATGACGATCCTAAACTCTTTAAACATTAGACTAATATATATTCATTTATTATTTACTAAGTTAGTTTAACTTGTACTTCCCATTTTTAGTTTATTGAAAATATAGCAACAGCATTATGCAATTGTTATTTTTATCAGTAAAGACAGCTTTGTTTATTTGATTTTAATTTGATTATTTTAATTGCAAAATACATATACTTGCTAATAGAAAAACTTCATTACCCTAAAAATTAAGGTGGAAAAAAATTAACATATTTTATTAAAATAAGTTAAATTTAGCAAAATGAATAATTTGTTTTTAAGATGAGTAACAAGTCAAGTGCTCTACTCCAGCTTATGTTTTAAAAAAAAGGAAAAATTTAATGCATAGTATGCAAAAGGAAAGTCAACACATTGAATAACTTTTGATCTAATGATTGGATTTTAAAATGCTGAGATTCAAACTTAATTGTTCAAGAGCACCTTAAATATGCTAATTAACTAGTGTAAGCAATATTTTAAGTTACTAAATCAGACCTAAAAGAATACTTTTTCGGAATAAACACTCAGATTTTATTTATTATATTATTATTATTTATTTTTTTTGGGAAGGATTAGGAATTCTGAACCTAGATATATTTGGGGTAGCTGCAATCTAGAAAATATGATATCAATAGTTTATGCAGAAGAGCAAGTGAAAATTTAGACACCTTGATATAAATTTTACTTTTTGTGCATTTAGCTATGTTTTGAGAACTTGTTAAGGGATTCCAAAAATATTTTGTGATCTAGTATAAAATTAATTTACCCAAAGATAATTCCATGTAAAAAAAATTAAACAAGTATTTTTGCATCATTTTATTTAATAATAATCAAAAACATTCTAAATAGTATGATATATAAACTTTTAAATCTTATAAAAGTATATAATTTAAAATGACAAAATACAAAATTTTAATGAAATTGGTAGAAAAGTTCTTGAGAACTGAAGTTTTTAAAACAGGGATGAGAGTAGTCAGAAAGTAAAAAAGAGGAAATCCAAAAAACAAAAAAAAAGAAAGAAAAAAAAATTTTATATATNCGGAAATCCGCGAATCCGCGGAAGAATCTCATCCCTGTTAAAAAGGCCATTTTGAAATTTGATAATTTAAAAACTAGTCAACCAATTTTGTTCAAATTTTGTATATTGTCCTTTAAAATTATATGCTTAAAAATGGTGTAAAAATCTGAATACTTACAATTAAAAGTTTTTTCGACTATTATTATAATAAAAAATAATAAATAATTGTTTTTAAATTAATTTATCTTTGAAAAAAATTTACAGTTGCGTAAAAAATATTTCAACTTGCCTAAAAAGTTTTCATTACATAGCAGAATGCATCAAAAGTTAAATTAACATTATGAATTCAAATCTTTTGATCACACTCCTGCCTAAAATATTGGAACCATATTTTCCAGATTGATGTTATTTACCACCCGTTTCCTGAGGCTCAAAATTTTAATTCCATCAAAACAAAATATGCTTATTCAGAGGAAGAACATTTTTCTGTATGATTTTTTAATTCCATTGATTATAATTTTCTGTTTTAATACTATTGGGGTCTTAGCCAGAAAGTTTGTGCCGGCAGATACATTATCTAATATTATAGAATTAGCAGAACTTACTGTACAACCTAATAAATTGAGTTTTTATGTTTTCGCATTCTCTATGATGAGTCCTTTGAGTTCAATAATTTTTTTCAATAAATATTGCCTTGAGAGTGACAAAAATATTTCTAACTTAATCTTAATCAAAAGATTTTTTTTAAAAAAAGATTCTGAGTAGTCAGTACAGAATATCTAGGAAATTTGAATAAAGAATTTGCTTGCCTTTTACAGAAATTAAAACAAAAACAATAACCTACTTAAAAAATTTTGGCTAAATTTACTCCTATCAAAGTTCTTCTGCAAAAAGTGTTCAAGTTGACAGATATATAAATTTATTTATTTTTGTAAACTATAATTTCATTTCAGAAAATAATTTTTTTAATTTAATTTCATTTGTGTTAACATTCTTAATTATATTTAAAAAGGCATCAAAATCTAATAAGTGCTTAGGGCCAATAAGGGTGTTAATCCAGCCCTGACCATGTGTACACTAGCCCCACAAAGTCATGTGCTTCTTTATGCCTAAAACTGGTTACTAATTGAAACTATATAGAACAAAAGTTAATATATCAAAACAGTTAAAAAAAAGTATAATTTATTCATAACATATCACTAATTGTTGAAATTTTGAAAATAAAATATTAATAAAACAGTTAAAAAAAATTACTTGACAGTTACCCTTGCAACTTAATAACCTTCTTTTACAAATTTCTACTAAAATATTTACAGAATGATTGCAGCTGCACATGGAAGCATACATCAGTGTTGTCGTTGTACGATATCTCACAAACAAATTTTGATCAATAAATAAAATTGTTATTCAAGATGTCCTTTTTTGCCCCATGTCCATGTTAGCCCATCTTTCCTGCACTAATAAACTTGAAAAGAAAAGAAAACTCCCATACAGCAACAGAGTGTAGCAAAAAAAAAAATTTATAAATTTAAAAAGCCTCTATATCACTTTTGTTCTATTGTGTATATAAAATTTAATTAAATCAGCATAGAAATTAAATTTTTGAGATTTCTTATTTTTAATATTGCCAAACTTATTCAAAGAACAATATAATTCACTCACCTGTTTATTAGCCAAAATAAAAATTGGCACATTTTTCAATTTATCACAGGCAATCAAGATATGAAGTTCCTTCACAGATTCAGCAAGTTTGTGTTCATCAGCTGCATCCACAACATAAACCAACAAATCAGTATCTTGAACAAAATTTGACCAATAAACACGATGACTTTTGGAGCCACCAACTATAAAGAAAATATAAATGCCAATAAAACATAGGAAAGCAACAATAAAAGTCAACCAATGTTCAATGAAATCTAATTATAAGCTAAAAAAACAAATACCCAAGTAAAGCAAGGTATATTATCAATATAAGTTAACTCACACTTAGGTTTCATTTAACTTGTTATCGTCATTTGAACAGTTTTTACGAAGAAAAAAATTTCCAAACACTCAATCACTGGGCAGGTATCTAGAGTCGAAAAATTTTCATAGCTCCAGGTCTGCTCCCAGATAATAAGCTTAAGCTCTGGTTCCACTAAGGCCATGGCAATTTTAACTAAACTCAGCGGCACTACAGCCCATAGAGGGCCAAGGCCTACTGTGCCCATCTCAGTTTTCTTGACCTTTGGGCTCTGGGGTGCAGGAGCAGATGTTCCGGTTAGGTGGTCAGCCGAACGCGAAACCCCCAGTGTTTAGTTCTCAAGCTTGCTTGGTACTCATTTATCGACCCACTGAAGGGATGAAAGGCTGAGTCAACCTTGCCNTTGGCACATTTTTCAATTTATCACAGGCAATCAAGATATGAAGTTCCTTCACAGATTCAGCAAGTTTGTGTTCATCAGCTGCATCCACAACATAAACCAACAAATCAGTATCTTGAACAAAATTTGACCAATAAACACGATGACTTTTGGAGCCACCAACTATAAAGAAAATATAAATGCCAATAAAACATAGGAAAGCAACAATAAAAGTCAACCAATGTTCAATGAAATCTAATTATAAGCTAAAAAAACAAATACCCAAGTAAAGCAAGGTATATTATCAATATAAGTTAACTCACACTTAGGTTTCATTTAACTTGTTATCGTCATTTGAACAGTTTTTACGAAGAAAAAAATTTCCAAACACTCAATCACTGGGCAGGTATCTAGAGTCGAAAAATTTTCAAAGCTCCAGGTCTGCTCCCAGATAATAAGCTTAAGCTCTGGTTCCACTAAGGCCTTGGCAATTTTAAATAAACTCAATAGCACTACAGCCCATAGAGGGCCAAGGCCTACTGTGCCCATCTCAGTTTTCTTGACCTTTGGGCTCTGGGGTGCAGGAGCAGATGTTCCTGTTAGGTGGTCAACCTAACGTGAAACCCCCAGTATTTAGTTCTCAAGCTTGCTTGGTACTCATTTATCGACCAACTGAAGGGATGAAAGGCTGAGTCAACCTTGCCTGGCCCCGAGGATCGAACCAGGGACCTGCGGCATGACAGCACGAAGCGCTACCGCTCAGCCACCGGGCGTCCTGGCAATTTTAGTACATTATATTTATGCATACTTTTCAGTTTCAGATTTTAATTTTAAATTTTTATTATAAAAAAGAACATTAAAAACATAGTATAGTCATTAACTCACATAGCAATTCAAACTTAACTTAATTCACAGTTGAGTTATTTGTTCATTCTTAAGAAAAGAATCAAATTTAATTATTCCTACTACATATTTTATCTTAAATCATTATAAATGTATTTTAATGTCAAGAGTCTTGTTATAGCAACTTTGTTATGGACAATGAGGCAGACCTCTTGAATGTCTATAAGATACAAAGAAATTGCTGAAGCATAGGAAAATCTAGAGCACCAGTGCCAGTTAAATGAAAAACACAGTTTCGGAGTACTACTGGCTCCTGTTTCAAGGTATGATGAGTGTTTCTGGGTTAATAAAAGTTCTGTGATTGATCAGCTCTAAGTTCAACATAGTGAATTGGGCTAAGTTCCAAATGAAACTCCCCGACTTATACAGAAATATTATTATGGTATAAAATCAACCTCCAAATATTGGTTCCCATGGCCAAAATTGTATTTAAATTTTCTCATTATTGCATTATAACTCCTTCACTGAACAACAAGGAAAAATCATAGTTTTTTTAAATGAAAACCGCATTCTTAAAATTATAAGAAAAAGCTGAGATAAATGCCTCTAGATTTTAACAAATCTTAACGAAGAGAGACTTCAATAGTATTAGACATTCAGTAGACATTTACTCAACTTGAAAAAATAAAATAAAGATTAATATATAAAAATATTAATTAGGTAAAATATATTTATCATAAAATAAAATACGAAAATTATATAATGAACACTAAAGCAATGCTTCATACCTTTTATTTAATTTTATAATAAGGAGAGATGATTTTAATGTGGACAAATATAGGGCCACAAATTAAGTTTACTAATCATAATTTGAGCATAATTAGCATTTTTTGATAAAAATTAAATGATCATCTTCATTCTAAATATTACATAACTAATTTTGATTTATAGTTTTAAATAATTGTTTTTTATTAAATAAAAAAAAGTTGTTTTTGTGCAAAATACCCTGTGACAAAAGGTTAGCGTGGACAAGCCATAAAACTGATTGTTTAATCTAATGTTACTTTAAGGAAAGAAAATGAAATCAAAACAGAACTACTTTCAATTTAAAAATACCGTCTTGAATAGAGCTGCAAAAGTTTCATTGTGAAGGCACAAAACTATTATATTGAAGTACGGAGTTAATATCCTCGCTGGTGACTTGAAGGTCGAAGCCTAAATAGTTTTAACTTAATGAGTACTAAATTTTCTGGAAAGTGAAAGTAACTTCTGTGAAAGGTTGACAACATTGCCCTCTTCATACTGTTTGCAAAACAATTGTGGAGCCCTTACTTCTATGACTTACCTGGCCCAAAAGAAATTTCTGTGGAAATGCTTTACTATTTTCAGTCTTGAATAAATAAGCTTAATGTTTAACAAATACTATTTCATAATTAACAATTGAACTACATAGTAACCATAGAGAAAAAAATTTTCAAAGACAAGTTATTACATTAGAAGATAATTTTTAAAATTTCTACAGAGAAAAAAAAAATTATTAATGAAGTCAAATTTGGTTCTTATTTAATAAAGTAGTTTGACAAATCATAGATTACATGGATGTCAACTGCTCCCCTTTCTGCAAGATTTAATAAATTGGTAGTGAATTAACAATAAAACTAGATGAATAAAGATAATTACGCCTACTTTTTAAAAGTTTCACCACAAGATAACTGCGATAAAGTTGCATTTCATACGATACTTTAATAAGTAAAGTGCTAGTGAATAACCCACATTAACATCAAAGAAAGCCTATAATACTGACTTGTTCACAATTGACCCATAACTATGTGTCCACACTTACTCCATGGAATGATTTATCAGTTTCAGTTTAGAAGTTGATTAAAAAAACGGCAAATCCAAAGTGACAGAGCAAAAATGAAATATGCATGTTTGTTCATAATTATCGTGCCGGATGTTAATAGTGAAATATTCGTACATTGTGACAAAATCAAATCAAACAGTGTACCAAATCAAACCAAAGAAAATCATCCTTCTTTATTAGGAAAAATGTTTATAATTAACAAATATGGCCACATTTATAACTTCAAAAAAACATCATATAAACAAAATAACAGAGCGACTCTTTTCACTGAGTCAAAGACAGTTTCTTTCAGGTATCCACTTTTATATAACAATCTTTTATAACAATTTATAACACTATTTAATGGTTGGACTAAGAGGCCATTGGACATACAAAAAAAAAAAATTATATATATATATATATTTTACAAAAAAACTCCAGTCTTTAGATCAAGAAGTTCAAATTACCGGTATATGCATAGAGTCTAACAGACACTTAGGAGCATGGGAAGAGATCCAAAATTTTGTGAGTCATGGATAGATAATAGAGCCCAAAATAAAGCCAAGTATACATTATTAATATTAAATTTGAAATAATCTGACTATAGCTTATTTAGCAAAACGACCCGTTAGAATTTAATATAACCTTGTAATTGAAAGATTTTTGTGGTTAGAGAAATAAAGCAGTTTGAAGAAAAATAAAGTTAAAAATAGATTTTGATATTTGAATAGAACTTAATTAATGAGTTATACACTTATACTGAATTAAAAAGTTAGCCATTACATTGATTGTTAAGTAAAGAATAAAAGTATTTATTTTCGCTCCTCATAAAATGTGATAAAAATTATATGGATAAAATTTAGTATACAACAGGATCAAGAATGTTTTAAAAAATTACACTTATGAAATTAAAAAATTTTAAAAGCTAGGAAATAAGTAACGCCTTTAATGGCATTACAATAAAGTAAGTTGTCAAAAACAAATAAAAATAATTTAATGGGGCATTAAAAAGCAAATTAGAAATTTAATTTTCCACAATAAAAACCTTGTCTTTTTATTAGCCGCTTAAGAATAAAATGTTTTGCCACGCAATGGCATATGAAAGTGGAACCCAGATTTAGCAATGTGCCAAGGTTATAAAAAAATTTGTATGATAACAGAAATATTCCGTACCATAAATAACGGAAATATTCCAGCCATCCCCTCTTCTCTATATGCATTTCAGTAAAAAAAAATTACAACAATTATTTTCTTAATTTTATCACATATATTTCATTTACTATCATATAGTACATATATAGTACTACCATAAATACAACTATTTAGTTTATATACAAATTAAAGTAACTATCAAATCTGATTAAATTAAGCTAAAACTGACTAAATAGGAAAAAATATATTTTAATTTATTTTATTATTTTATTTCTTTTATTTTTTTTTTTTTTATTATTTTAGATATATTTTTCAGATATATTTTAATGAATATTTTATTTATCATCCAAAAAATATTCTTTAAATCTAAGTTTTTCAAAGGAGTAAAAATATATTTTACTATAATATAAAAAGATTTTGAAGGGTGTAATGTTCAATCGATCAAGTGATGTGACATGCTAAAATTCAGGTTTAGTTTACATACAGAGGATTTGTTTATACTTTTTTTGAAAAATAGGGGCAGAGCTGTAATGTTCTATGTCATCTACAATAAATTAGCATATAATTTTATTTTCAAGCAATTTTTAATATTTAATTTTATACATCATAGTTATTGGTACTGATATTATCTAAATTAGATAGATTAAATACAACCTAACTCAGGTTTGGCTCGCTTTCCTCAAAACCCTTATTGGATAACAGGTAAAATCACTAGGCTCTCCTGCAGAAAACTAGTTCTAACAAAGGAATCCGGTAAAATTATAAGCCATATTTTCTTCCTTACTTGCAAGAGCTTAAGCTGCTGGATCTTATTGTAGTAGTTGATACTACTCAAACTATGGCTATTCATGCTGAATCTGGAATGTTTCATGTTTTGACAGAGGTCAGTGAACTGCATACTTTGTGAATAATTGGAGTGAGGAATTACGTCAAATCTAAAATACTGTTCCTGCATCAATTGTTCTGTTACAAGTGATTGCCAGGTGATTCAGTGAACAATTGTATTTAATTATTTTTATATTTAATTACCAGTGACTTATTTTTTAACTTATATTCTAACAAATAAACTTATTAATTTCATGCTTAACTTTCTTTGTTACATTTTACACTACTATATACTCATTGTTACATTTTACACAACTATAGATGAGAGTGGGATAAGTTGACTACCCACTATAAGTTGATAAAAACTGGACTACCTTTTTAATTCCTTTCATTACTTTTCAATGTGCAATAAGAGTATATTAATACTAAGTATCATAAATCATAAGAGACGGATCAAAAAGTAAATACCATAAAAATCCTACTATTTTATCAGTCAGGATTTCAAGAGAGAAAAACATAAAAAAATGTTAAATCACACTACTTTATATAAGAAAGGAAATATATTAAGAAAAATAAAATATAAGAAAAAAGTTTAAGACTAAGGTGAAAAATCCAGAGTAAAGGGTTCATTTGTGCTGCATAACGATGCAGAACACAAACCGAAAATCATTACCGAAATCAGCGAAGAGAGGGATCTCTTTATTTTGATAGGCATTGCACTGTTAGAGTAGCATTTGTAAGAATCCCTAGAAGAGCATATAAAAATCACCTCTCCTTCCTTAACAGAGAAAGATCTTTCTATTGTGCTTCAATGATGGTCATGATTATGCTTTTAATACATTAGGCAACCTATTATCCGGAACGATCGGGACCATCGCTATTCCGTATAACTGATTTTTCCGGCTTTCTGAATCGCTACAAAAAAGCCGTTTTTTTAATTGTTAAACCCAACTGGAAAAAACAAATTTAGAAAAAATCTTAAAAAGAAGAAAAAACGATGAAGTAATACACTAATGATTATTTCCAAAATGATGGTAAAGTAAACATCTTGTAAAAAAAAAGAAAGAAAAATCCTAAAATCTTATGAGGAAAAAAACTTTTTAAAAAAATTGGTGGGAAAATTTCTCAAATTTCGTTCCGGTTTTTTGGTTTTCTGATTTTCGGATAACGGGTTCTGTACTGTAGAATGAAACTGATTGTCTATCATTGATAATTAAATTACTCCTGCTTTAATATGTTGTGAATAGTTTTACTGAAGTTGTGCTTCAATTTAAATAGTTTATTTAAAACTTTGATTTATTATTATTTTTTAAGTAATATTTTTATAAGCTAATCAAAATAAATGATGTCTACTATTCTAAAGTGATTTGCTTATAATGAAACAAAATGCTGTGCTGTACTAAGTTTGAGAAAAAATATGTATAGGAATTTTAACAAAATAGAGGAAAGGCATAAGTAATGACCAGAAAAATTCCCCCCTAAATGACCTATAATTATTTCCTGTGGTAGGGTACACTATTACCCTGAAATATAATACCTGGTCCAATTTAAATATTATGGGTCAATATTAAGGTCTGATATCACGCCTTGCGTTAGTTAACCATTGAAAGATGTCTTTGAATACATGTGCATTGCTGATAATAACAAGAAGAATTCTCTGGGATATATGCACAAATGATACTAAAAGAGTATGTAGCAAAGAAAAGCAATTTGAATAAATAAAGAATAGAACTTACTCTCCCAAAAATTCAAAGATTTATGAGGATGGCAAACAACAGACAGAACATTAAATTCTTTGGTATTATCTGGTTCATATATGTTGCCATCAATTTTAGCCAAATGTGACAAAAATGTACTTTTACCAGAACCTTCTAATCCAAGAACTAAAACCTTATTTATTGACTCATCAACCACCTATAAAAAAAAGAAACATTTTAAGCATGCATAATGAACTTCAAAATAATAAATGTACAAAATTGTTCAAAGTGAATGGTTTAAATATTATGAAATATTATGTTATAATATCTATCATATTCATTAGTAAAACAATAGGTAAACAATGCCAAGAAAAATCTAATTTACAGCAGAAAAATTTCTCACTGCTTAAATTTTAATTAAATTCATTTAAGTTACCAAAAATAAAATAAAAAGAGGAAAATTATTAAATACAGTAAGAATGCAAAACTTATTTGAATGAAAGACCGCTTACAGGTTGACCAATATGAGGGCAAATGCCTAAAATGATATGACACTGTAAAGCCTATGTTGATGATAATTATGGTAATTTTTACATAAACCTCAGTGTTTTAGGCACTAATCCTTTTTATCAATCAACCTATGCATACATATTATCATCAGGGAAACAGTGGAAAAAAATCCAGGAGAACAGTGAAGAAGAGAGGTAGCCCTTACTAACATAAATAAGCTTGTGTCTCTACTTCTCCAAACCATCAAATAAATCAACTGGGTTTAGGAATTATGTCACTAAAATACTATCATTTTAAAAACATCATATCCCTACTGCAAAAGAATTTTTCCAATACTCCTGAGACCTTTTTTTTTAATATCTGACTAGATTCTTCATGAACCCCCACTCTCTGACATTACCAGATCCAGGGCCGTGCCTGAAAGTAGGCAAACTGAGCAACAGCCCAGGGCTGCTAAAATTTAAAAAATTTCCTTGAAGCAAAATAATTTCAGAGTTTGAGTCTTAATAGAATGACTATAGAAAGAAGAGTTAAACAGTTGGGAGAATAAATTAGGGCTCAATTTTAAGTTCACAGCTTCACAATTTCAATTTTTTTTTTTCTCTTGCGGTTGATGAATCGACAGATTGTATACTTTAGTGGCTCAACTACTGGTACAGTTCAAAGAATTTTTAAATGATTTTGAAAACTGTTTAAATGACACTTTATATTGCACAGAAGTCAGGTGGCTATGTCATAGAACTATGCTAAAAATGTTTCATCGAGCTCTTTGATCAAATTATCACTTTTATAAGTGAAAATGAAGAAAAAAAAACTAGGCAATTAAAGGAACCTAGTTTCCTTTGGCTTTTCTAACTGATATAGCTGGTCATTTAAATGGTGACTTAAATGCCAAAGTTTAAAGGAAAATATCAGTTTATATTTCTCAGAGTGAGTATTATAACTTCCTTTAAAAGAAAACAAACCTGGTAACATTGTAGAAAAGTTTTCATGAGCAATGATTAAAAACATCAGGAGTTTTGGGAGTCATTTCAGGACTACAACTTGCAATCGGATATAAATCTATTTCTTGGCATAAATTCAAAAACAATTTAAACAGAAAGACATATTTAATATAACAATGTTGAAAATGGTAACTTAAAAGTTATTCAATAATATTAGATCAGGATTATTAAATTATCTTTGACAGTTGGTAAAAAAGTAAACAGAACTAATTACATCACTAATCACTTTTCTATTTGTTTATCAGTTTCCAAAAAATATAATTGATTTTAAACTGACAATATGAAATGAAGATAAAAATATCCAAGAAATGTTGACAGATTTATTATTAAAGAAATAAAAAGTTATATATTTTATCTAAAAAAATTTTTAAGACATTCTGTTACATAAAAATCAAAAAATTCATTCTTTTTGTCCTGTTAAATCAATGTAGGTCGCTTCTTTAGCTTTCACTATATCTGTTTCTATTAGAACTACATTGTAGCAGCAGGTTTCACTTTCTTTACACTTCTCAACTTTGGGAGAGAGAAAAAGGTTATCTTAATTTTACCACTGGTATCATCAAAGAATGTTACAAAGAATGCAAAAAGTATGCGGCCATCAGGGGAACAATTCTGGGAACATGCGCTTACCTCTGTGGTTCGCAACAGATAACGGCAAATTAAGTTTAATTAAATAATTTACAAATAGAATTGTTGCTTTTATAACATTTTGGCTTTCTTTTGCAGATGCTGTAAATATATCTTTCATGCGTTTATTGAAGGAGTTTTAATGTCTTTAATGCTTTTATTTTTAAATTGCAGGAAAACTAATCAGGATGTGCGATTTTAAAATTGCGAGAAGAATAGTCACAATCTATGGGATTTAAAATGCATGAATGCGAATCACAACATGTGATTTTTAAATCTTGATAATGTGAATCGTGATGTATGATTTTTAAATCTCATTAATAAGAAACACAATGGAGGATTTTTTATCGAGTGAATATGAATTGCATGTGATTTTTAAATTGTTTGAAAATGAATAAGAATAGGTTGGGGTACATGCTATTAAACTTTAAACTTGAACATGTTCATGGGCATTAAAAAATATGCATGGGTATTAAATTATTTTTTTGTATAAGAGTCACACATTTAATAAAAATTTTCACATCCCATTCCTTTATATGCTTTTTCCGAAAACAATTCTTCTAAAACAATTGCACGTGTGAAAGTACCGATTTTATAGCTAAGATTTTTGTGAAAATACTGATTTATTCGGGCTGATAATTGTTAACCGATCAAAGGAAATAAAATTCACCTGTATAAGGCTCTGAAATGTAACAAGAAAACCATCATGAGGTTTCAGTGAGTGTTTGCTTTACAAACATTTTTTTTTTGTTGCTTTATCTTTGTATAAATACAAAACAAAATTTCATGGGCAAGAAATTTTTACTAATTCTGTTTTACATTAATCTCGCATATTTTTTTTCTTTTCTCGCAATAAAAAATGATTAACGTGAGAAGTTCGCACACTCTATTAATCAATTTCAAAATGAGCGAATTTTGGAAAAAATTTCGTCTTTACCATTTTGAATAAAAATTTTTTCACTTTTCTTCCTTGATCTTTCATTATTTTGAACATCCGTCCTTGTTATCTAGCCTACCTATTAATCACTATTGTTCAGAACCGGTTCGAAAAGCAGAACCCCCCCCCCCCGAACCCCTTTCAGAACACACTTCTCTGCAACCATGTGTTCATCGTAGGAAAGTTTCTTCATGTAAGATATTTACTTTTTTTGTGCATGAATGTAAGATGGGCAAATACCTTGTTAAGGCGACATCTTCAATGGACAAATGAAAATTAAACTAATGTCCGTAGAAACGGGTCAAAACGAAACAAATACGGATATTTTTCAGCCAAATAAGCATAATAGCTGATGAAAAAGGAAAGGAAAAGGATATAGAACATTTTCCATATGATGTTGCAGCAAAAATATTCAATTAGAAGATGTCAAAAATGCATTATAATTAAAGAAATAATTTTTTTCTAAGTCTATTCGTGTTTTTTTAATTTTTAAAAATCTCACTTAACTTTTTGAAATCTCACCATGTTTTTGAGAAAGGGTGAGAAATTCTCTATTTTTTTCTGTAATGAAAACACTGCATTAGACAAGAAATAAATTATTCAATTAGAGCTTTGGCTTAATTTCCATTATCTACTTTAAAATAACATACTCAAATACACTACATTGAAGTTTGCCAAGGAAATTTGACACTCAATCTGTAATTATAATTAACAGCAAAACCAAATGGGAAATATCAATGAATAGGTAATATTAGCACTAAAACTTTGTTCCAAAAATTGGTAAAATAAATACTTGTACTAGATAAATATTATTACTAAATAAATATTAATACATATAACAAGTTAACTGACTACCTTCTAATAAGTAATACATGTTCTGATTCAAAATTGTTCTTCATATATTTATAATAAAAATATAGCAAGTCAATGAATGGATATTATTCAATAATTAAAAATAAAACAATTAAAATATTTAGGCAAAAAGTCTAAACTTTCGATGAAGCATTGATTTCTAGTAAAGCTATAAAAATCATACGTTTCGATTCAAAATTGTTCTTACAACAAATGATAATGAGGAGCAATAAAGAAAACCTTTATTGAACAGCAAATTGCTCAAGCAACATTTATAAAGCTTTGGAATACTTATTTAAAGCACATTTGAGTACTCTACTCACATTTTGGTCTACGAATCCTTCGTCTATCATCATTCTACGCTTGTGTTTGAAGTACGAATAAATAGCGAAAGCTGAAAAACCCATGACAGAGCAGCCACCAGCTATAATAACTGGTTTAGATAACCTACTGAAGTAATTGAAGAAATCATTCATATTTATTTGAAAATATAAAATTTAACACTAAAATGAAAATGCACTCAATTGACAAGATCAAAATTCGTCAAGTTTTGGTTTGATTGGTCCGGGTGGTTACAGCGACAAGCCTTGTATTTAATTATTACTTTTGCTTACAACTCTCAGAACTGGTTTAATCTCTACAGATGGTATTTTCAGGGAACTGTCTTGGCCGCCGTGATTTTATTTTATTAACCTTTCAATTCTATGGGACAAATTGGCGATTGAAATGGACAGCAGATGGCGTAGAGCAGAACTCTCTACCTATGGCAACACTTCACATGCTTTCCTCATTAGCGTGTGGAGAGTCGAGTCATAGAGGAAGGAAGTACGTTAGTTTCTCTCTTGATTTTCACATAGATTAAAATCTTTTAAGCTGAAAAACTATATGGAACTGAAAACGACATTAAACATAGTTCTAAAGAAAAGCATCACGGAAATTTTAAAAAATATTTTTAATAATTAAATAAAAAGGAAGAATGTTATAAAAAGGGAAAATATCGTAGTACACTCCTGTACAACTGAAAAGAGGAGGAGAGGGAAAGGAGAAGGGCCAAAGCAAGAAACCGGTCTCTCCCTAGATGGCGTATTCGAGAGTTGCGATCGCCAATACTCAGATTTGCGCCTTTCAACTGGAATAAAATCAAAAAAATGCTCCCCGAAAATTCCGCCGTTCTCATATCGGACAACAAATATCAGTTAATCTACGTGGGAAATGTTTGGTGCTAAACCAACACTTCCTTAAAAATATTTTGCTTTCTTTAGTTCTGCCATTATTTTGCTTAGTTTAAGTCCCAAAATTGATATAAATTACTTACAAATCGAAGCTAATAAATAGGATGTATTTCCTTTGCCCTTATTCCCATATCTTTTTTATAAATTCAGCATGAAAATGGTCAAGTTTACTCAATAGTTCCAAAGTTCCCAAATAATTTCATTTATGATGCAAAATAATTGTTTGATCGTCTTCAAGGATAATGCAAGATCTCGTAATGCACCAAATTTATTACTCATACAATTCTTTTCAATACTTCTTGCCAATAATTGATTTAGTTGTTCATCTGATTAGCTAAAACACTATTCTTTGAAAGTCCAGTATTCTGTTTTAACAAGTAAATTATTGTTGCCTATCTGTGCCCTAACCTGTTTCCATGCTCTAAAATGCACACACTAAAATGTTACCTGTCGCTTAAGTACTACTATAGTAGTCGCTACTATAGTAGTTGCGACGTCATGAAAAACATTACAGAACTTTAAAAGTGGCTAACTTTTGAGCTTTGAAACATACACTGGTGTAAAAGTATTTTTAGTTATTTGAAATTTTCAGAAAGATCACTAATTTTGCGATTGATAATAATATTTTCTTTTTATAATTTGAAACAAATGTATTACAATTTATACATAAAACTCTTTTAAGCTTTTGCCTTTCATAATAGTTTCGTGCCAAACTAAAAATAAAATAAATAAATAAAATTTAAAAGAAAAAAGCATTAAAAAGGGGACACCAATACATGCTTTTACCATTAGCGTGTGGAAAGTCATAGAAGAAGGAAGTACATTATAGTTTCTGCCGAGATTTGCATAATGATTAAAATCTTTTAAGTTGGAAAACTATATGGAACTGAAAGCCACATTAAACATAGTTCTAAAAGAAACATCATGAGCATTTTTAATAATATTTTTATTAATTAGAAATGAAAAATATTAAGACAAAAAATACCGTAGTACATTCCTATTGGTGATCGAAATGGGCTGCAGGTGGCGTATACGCCACCTGCTGCCCTATTAAGTAGCCTTTTAAGTAGGTAAACTATATGGAACTGAAAACTACATTAGACATAGTTGTAAAGAAAAGCATCATGGAAATTATTAAAAATATTTTTAATAAATTAAGAAAAGGAACCATATCGTAGTACATTCCTATACAACTGAAAAGAGGGGGAGAGGGAAGGGAAAAGGACCAAAGGCATGGAACCGGTCCTCTCCCGAAATGGCACATTCGTGCGTTGCGATCGTCTTTTATGTTCTGCATACGAACTTTTCTTGCGAGCACACGACAACATTTAACACAACCGAACTCTATTTCATAAAAAATATTTTTTATTGATTAGCTAGGCAATGGTTCTAACAGATGATTTTATTCTATAACATATAATATGATTCCAACAGATATATTTTTTTAACACCTAAATCCTATCAACAAAATGCAAGCAAAACATCTCAAGACTTTTCCAAATAGTGACAGATGCGATTCCTTCAACCTGATTGGGTAAATTTATCAACTAGGCAAAATTTTAGCGCAAATATATCTGATCAGCCTGGTCCTGCTCCAGTTTCGTTAAGCCTCGGCAAAACTACATTTGAGCTAAGTAGCCTAGTTTTTCGTTTAGACCGGGATTCGCGATCGCAACACTCGAATACGCCATCTGGGGAGAGACCGGTTTCATGCCTTCAGCCCTACTCCCTTCCCTCTCCTCCATTTTTCAGTTGTATAGGAATGTACCACGATATTTTCCCTTTTCTTAATATTTTTCCTTTTCATATAATAAAAATATTTCCTAAAATTTCCATGATACTTTTCTTTAGAACTATGTTTAATGTAGTTTTCAGTTCCATATAGTTTTTCAAGTTAAAAGATTTTAATCTATATGAAAATGCAGAGAGAAACTAACGTACTTCCTTCCTCTATGACTTTCCACACGCTAATGGGGAAAGCATGTGAAGTGTTGCCATAGGAAAAGAGTTCTGCTCTACGCCACCTGCAGCCCATTTCGATCGCCAATTACGTAATCCACGGAACTAGTTTTGACTGCACTCTGTCAATTCAGTCGTAGGGTTAACGCAATAGAATCGCAGCTGAGACATAATTGATAAGCGAGCTATAAGCGAAAAGCAGCAGTGTTCTAAAAAATGCCTGTCAGTATGAAGATTTTAGCATCTTGATCTGCGCCAAAATTTGGCNAAAAATATCCGCAAGGCAGGTTTGTATATTTGGGGCTGATGATTATGAAATCTAACACAAAACTGTGAGATCGGGGGCTCTATTCCAGCTGATGGCAGTTTTTAATTATTATTTCTTAATACTGAAAAATGTTTTTCGTATTTTTTTAAGTATGTATGTTAATAACTAGTAATTTAACAATTATTTAAAGAACTGGAAGGCTCCGCTACCTGTTCATTTTGCTCACTAACCCTCGTGGTTGCTTCTGCATTCATTGCAGGTTTAGAGGAAAAACGGTTTTTTTCCCTTTTTTTCTACAAAAATTACGATTGAATTGCCATTTACATTTTGAAGGTGATTAAATTTAAGTAAATCAATAAAATTGGTACCAATCAATAAAATTGGAAAATTGGTACCTGCCGCAGAGTTATTACTCAATAAAGTTGGACTCAAGGGATAGAGCATTCTCCTCCGAATGAGGTGCACCGAGTTCGAATCCCAGTGATGGCTGAGTGATATGAATTCCACACCCGGCTTTTACCGACCACAGTGCTGACGTGAAATATCCTNGTAGACGGATCATCAGACTAACCGTAGGAGGATTTCGTGGTTTTCCTCTCCATGTAACTCAAATGCGGGTTATCAAAACGTCCTCCACGAATGCAAAAATTTCTTCCACTACTTGATCCTGGAGTTCTCTTGTCTGCTGGATTAGGTTCAAAATTACAAGGCTACGGAATTAAACATTAGTAGTAGTAAGCTCGAATTTTTGGAATTTTTTCTAGTTGTGTATAAATTTTTTATTGTTTGAGTAGAATATTTAATTGAGAACACTGTAGAATCTTAAGATGGATGTGCATATATTGTTTATTTATTCAGATATCACTTTTATATTTTTTCTTTGTTAATATTTGAATCATGATAAATTTTTTATCAGAACAAATATGTCTATGTCATATTAATTATTTTTCGTATATTAAAAATTATTGCTTATTTTCAAAATTATCTTAGCCCCCCTGTTGGGGCATTGCTGACCCCCTGTCGGGCTAAGTCTAGCCCCACTCTTGTCCCAGACCGTCGCCAATAGCCCATTGTGCAGCTCTAGTGCGACGTAAATTAACAACAAAAACATAAAAATTATCCTTAGATATCTAATCAAAACACAATCATACTGAAGGAAAAGGCAAGACAGAAATAAGACTGTCCTGGGGACAGTAAGTATTCTTGATTTTCAAGAAAAAATAAGCATTTAAACAACAACGTTAACAATTTATGAAATTGATCACAAATTTATTAAGTTGCTTATAATTTATCAAATAAATTATATACTTCGAGAATCCAATTAGGAAAGTCGTTAATCTTGTGCTCGACCTTGAATACAAACTCATATTTAAAAATAATAATTTTGTTTTTATTAAAATGCAGCAGGGTAACTTCTAAAATAAGAAACTTAACTAGCGAAATTGAAAAGTTTTGTCGAAGTTATAATTCGAAAAGTCAATTAATAAAAATTATTTTACACTGACAATCGTTATGTCGTGGGAAAAAGTATGCGTTTATATTTCTATTCAACATAAAAGATGACGTCCCGCAGTGAACTGATCGTTAAGACACGATTCCCACCAGATCACCAAAGTCAAGCATCACTGGCTACGGTCAGTGTGCGGGTGGGTGACCACTTGGATTAGTCTGCGTAGGGACCGAGGGTGTGCGGTATGGGTCCTCGTTAAACTGTTCTACCGTAAAGTGCTCGACTTCGCGTGCAGGTCGTTGGGTTACCAAAGCAGGATAGCCATCTCCTATCCAGAGGATCAAAATTGTGATGGTATGTCTTCGGATCATCCTCAGGGATGTTTCCCAGACCGTCACCAATAGCCCATTGTGCAGCTCTAGTGCGACGTAAATGAACAACAACAACAAC